AATACAATTCAACTATAAACTATACTTCGAATTTTCGACAACTTCAAAATAATGACAAATCAATTAACAATATTTGATGTTTTCTTAGCTCATCAATCAGCTGTGAACTGTCAAAGACAACATGTGTTTCAGCAGGTGATATATACAATTTTGGCGCGCTTTTGCTTATTGGTTGCATATTTGAATAAATAGTGAAATTTACGTTTATTCTAGGGCAAGTTTGGTTTTTAACAACTATTAAGGTATGTGCTACATAGAAAATCTGTGCTTGTGACGTGTCAGTATATTTTTTTTTTTTTTTTTCGCGGATTTTCAGAATTTGGAAATGGCTTCAATAAGAGCATCAGCTAGCATTCCTGTATTCATCATAAAGCTTAGAGGCCCAGACGACCGAGGGGCGCTCGAGAAACGACTTGTTAGTACATATTAGGCTATTTGAAATTTGTTAAGCTAAGAGGAGTTAGTAAGGAAATTTAAAATTCTATATTTTAAATTAGAGGGACAGGAAAGAGATGTAATAGTAGTAGTAGTAGAGACCATTGTAGTTCAAACATAATACCCTAAAAGGGTCATGCAATGCATATGTCGAACTACAACGGCTAAGGAACAGAGAACTAAAGTTTCGTGTCCTTCTATTAGGAATGTTAAAATTTAAGCGTGTTAGTAAATGCTGGCTATCTACATCCCCGTTAATAAGGTTATGCAGAAAAACTACACCGAGCATTGTCCTACGATTTGTTAAGCTAGGTAAGTTTATAAGTAAAAGTCTGCTACTGTAGGATAGAAGCTGAAGATTTGCATCCCAGTATAGATCTCTAAGTGCAAATATGAAAAAATTCTTTTTTACGGATTCTATGCGGTCCTTATGTACTCCATATTGGGGACTCCAGACACATGAACCGTACTCTAGTATAGGACAGACCAAGGAAATAAATAATGTTTTGGTTATATAGGGGTCATTAAATTCTTTTGACCACCTTTTGATAAAACCAAGGACTCCTTTAGCCTTATTAACCATTAAGGAAATATGGTCGGCAAATTTAAGTTTGATGTCTAATAGGATGCCGAGATCATTAACATGGGTTAATTTTTCTAAGGCAATCCCATTAATAGAATAAGTAGCTTGCAGAGGGCAAGAACGATAAAAAGACATATGTTTGCATTTTGATCCATTAAGTATTAGATCATTAGCTAAACACCATTTTTGAAAGTTATCAAGGTCAGACTGAAGACTGCATTGGGCAGAGATGGATTTGTACTGAAGACAAAGCTTTACATCGTCTGCATACATAAGAACTAGAGAGTTCGTTAAAGCAGGGGGCAAGTCGTAAATAATAACGGGCCAAGATGACTTCCTTGAGGGACGCCGGATGTAGCACGGACCAGACGGGACTGTATGTTTTTAAATAAGACTCTTTGTGTCCTTCCATCTAGGTAGCTGGAGATCCACGTTAAGAGGTCTTTAGGAAAACCCAGCATATTCAGTTTACTCAACAAGAGTGAGTGATTAACTGAATCAAATGCTTTGCTGAAGGCTGTGTAAATTACATCGGTTTGATATCCTTTACAAAAGCCATCTACGACAAAGGATGTCAACTCCAATAAGTTTGTGGTGGTGGAGCGACGCTTAATAAAGCCATGCTGACAAGGAGTGATAATCAAAGAGCAAAGGTGTTGCAAATGAGGGGTAATTAATTTTTCAAATAACTTTGGAATTGCCGACAACTTAGAGATGCCTCTGTAGTTGGCAGCCTACAGCCGGACTTTTTCCCTTTTTTATGTAGGGGAATTATAAATGATTCCTTCCACTTAAGGGGAAAAAACGAGGTTTCCAAAGATAAGTTGAAAAGTCTAAGAAGAGGTTTGCACAGAGCCCTGGCACAGTTTTTAGCATACAGCCTGGTACTCCATCGGGGCCTGGCGAATAAATGGGTTTTACCTTTAAAAGACCAGATAATAAGTTGTTCTCAGAGAAAAACGGACAGAAAATAAGATTTGCTGCTTGAATGTTATATGCGTAAGGCTGATCTGTCAATTTAGGCGGAGAATAAGTTGTTAGGAAAAATTCTGCGAATAGATCGGCAATGGCCTGATCCGAAGTCGCAGAGGAACTTTCAAACGTAAGCAGGGGTGAAAAAGATACGTGTTTACGCTTAGTGTTTACAAAATTATAAAACTGCTTTGGATCCTGAGTAAATTGTATCCGGCAGCGGTCAATATAATTCCTATAACATTCAGCGTTATACACGGTAAAATTCGACCGAACTAGTAGGTATCTTGAGAAATCAACACTACTGCAGGTTTTTTTATATTTAAGTAAAAGCTTATTTTTTTTATTTTTTAGGTTAGTAAGGCACCTTGTAAACCAAGGAGGATTTGTTGAAGCGGACGGATATTTCCAAGGCACACATGAGTCAAAAAATGTATTTAAAGTAAAATAAAATTGTTCTAAAGTGACATTAAGATCAGTGCACGCCAGAATATCAGACCAGTCAAATGTATCGATAAGGCTATTAAGTTTCTGAAAATCAGCTTTACGGAAACAGCGAATCTTATTTACCACGCTCGGAGACATATGATCGATACCAGGAGTGGTTTCGATTAAGACCTCCAGCGTGGGGTGATATGGATCCTCTGGGGTTGAAAGGGGAAAAGCTCTGGAGAGAGCAGTACCATCAGGATCAGATACAAAACATAAGTCTAAGAGCCGACCTAGCGAATTTCTAACATGATTGATCTGACCTAGGGACATGTGAAACAGCATAAAGCTTTCACGGACATAGTGATTTTAACGCAAATAAATTCTATGTCACCAAACTTTTGGGATTTCACCTCTTCAGAAGCAAAAGTAGAGTCTACCGAAATGAGGACTCCACCTCCTCTTCGCTGAGATCGATCCCGTCTAAAAGTGGTGTACTTACTTGGAAAAACTTCGGAGCTAAAGATCTCCGGATTTAACCAAGTTTCTGTAAATGCTATTATATGGGATGCAATGAAAGAACTATCAGAATATAGCTTTGGGAGTTTGCTACGTAGCCCCCTAGTATTTTGATAGGTAAGAGTTAGTGGGGAAACTAGTTTTTTGGGTTAGTGGCCAAAGAAGAGGTGGAGGGTTGGTCAGTGGTTCCGATATTGGGAAGTCTCACTTCCACTGGTTTATTAACTTTTTTTTTCACGGAACTAGGCTGATGTTCTTGGACGAAAAGATTCTCTGGCCAAAAACTGGGAGAACAAATCGTCTTGAACATCAGCGCGGGCACACGAATCTTGAAAAAAGACGTGCGCCTTGTATAATTATATTTAAATTTTATGTAAATTAAATGTAATGTAAAATTAAATTGTAACTAAATTAAAATATGTCCTCCACCTTTATAACGGCTTTAGTTTTGGCTTTGATATAAGCCGAGATATCAATCTCTGAAGTATCAGGGGCAAGCCGAGAAACAAATATATGTTTATATGTAGAGCCCGCACCAGTCTTTCGTGAAATAGAACCTAACAGATTCACCTGGATTCACTCTGGTTGCAATTGTTTGTTAAAGTGTGAATCATTATCTGTCCGAAATGTTAAAAATGACATTTTTGACCTGCGTATGTCATTTTGTGCGTTTTCCTGTGTATCTACAAGTTATTTCACTTTTTAGGAAGACTGTCAGTCGAAGCTGAATGTCGAAGCGATGGGTTATAAATAAGGAATCTTTTGAAAAAAGTAATAAAGAATGGCTATACACGCCTCAGGTGTTGATGGAAAGATCTTCATTTAGAAATGTTGGACGCCCAGAAAAAGTGTTGCAGAAAAACTCAAATCAACAAACTAACAGGCATTTCGAAGAAAGTCTCGAAGGATCCATTGTTGTTGGCTGCAAGTAGCAACTTGTATATAGACGGAAGGCGCAATACATCAAGAATTGTGTCGAAGCTGAATGCTGACGAGGAGCTCACTGGGGATATTATAAGTACTGGAAGTACGGCCGGTACTGGAAGTACTAACAATGGAAACACTTCACGAAGATTTTTTCAGCAACCAAATTTTGCTGCGCTCATAACAGGAGTACACCAAATGTTAATATTCCGATTTACCGTTGTCCTGCGAGCATTGGCCGGTGGGCATTACTTAAACACGGATGCATTCGGATCGTACTTTATGGAAACTCCAGACATTTTTGTTAATAAATACCTTTGGTATACCCAATCGTCTGTTCACAGAATTTTAATTCATGGAGCAGACATAATAAACAGTTTTTGTCTTCCAATTGGTATCATGTCAGAGGACATGCCTAAAGCAAGAAATAAAGATTATCGCAACATAAGCGAGAATAATTCAAGAAAAAAAAATTCAAGAGGAAAAATTCAGGAAAAAACACAATGGAGGATATAATGGATACGCGTTTTGTTTCTTCTGATCCTCTAATATCTTCAATGTAAAATGGCTCATCAATTTCGTCATCGAAAAATATTATTATGGACAAAGACGTTAAGAGCTGGCTTTCAGCAGAGAATCTTGGAACCGATTTGTCAGACTCTGAAAGTCAAGTCAAGAAAGTCAGAATAATAATTTTATTTAAAATTTTTTTATATAATGTTTATTTTTGTTATTTTCTTCTTGTATAATAAAAGTTATAATTATATTTCTTACTCTTTTTCTTTTGAAAAACAAAGATGTAATAAAAGTCTTTTTTTAAATATAAAAAAAGAAAATAAAAAAAAACTATATATTTAATTTTTGCCCACATAATGCAAAACTGAGTAACAAACCGAAAAAAAAACCGATTGAAGATATCTCTAATATTTCAGAAGTTATTAATTAAATGCCGCTAGCGAGGCCGAATCGATGTCGTTTCCAACATTATCAATGTTTAAATTCAAATACAAAATAATTTAGGAGGGACCTTAGTGCATATCTGGTAAATATACGTCTTATACTGGAAAGAATAACCGTTTCTACACAACACACATGTTCTTCGATCTCAGTACTAGGCTTCAAATTTAACTATGTAGGTGGGTACTTATTCTATCGATATATAAGAGTTGTGTCATCGCTAAGACAAACGTTTAATTTCTACGAATAATTGAGATGTATTCAAAACAAAGGTATATGAAGAAAAATTGCCCATCTGAGGCTGTATAGCTATTTCTAAAAATTTATGAATTTATTTTCATGTCGCTAAATATAATCCAGTCAAAATACAATATAACTCGTAGTTACGTATTTATATACATACATACATACATATGTACCACAGAACGGCACGGGTGACCCTTTTCGACACCCTCTGCATACCCATAAAAATTTGTGTGAGAGTACCACTCGAGTGGACTCTCCACTCATAAGACAAAAGGCAATACCGACACACATAATTTTTGCATAAGTACAAAGTGTGCTTTGCCTTTCTTGCACTCGCATTTTGCATTTGCATTTTGTGCCTGTGTTTCTTAAGGGGTTATATACAGTTGTGATATATGAAAAAATCGATTTTTTTTTATTGCATATTCTTTAAGTATATTCTATTGGGTGTACTCCCACAAAAATTGATAACGATCGGAGCATTAGATCCTGTAGAAGCTGTAGCTATTTATAGCACACTATCTGCATATAAAACTTGAACAAACTTGAAACTTTAAACGCGATTATCTCAGAATCTTTTTTTTGGGCAATTACCTTTGCGGTGGACACGATTACTAAAAAATTACTAATCCGATCAACACCAAATTTTGACCACATAGTTATTATGATATTAGCTAGTCCGTGAACGAGGGATTTTCCATTTTTTTGAAAACTCCCTTTTAAAGCACAAAAACGAAAATCTTATACCTTGAAAAAGTAAATTTTTGTTTCAAACGTCGCCATTTTTTTTTAATCAAAATTTTAAAAAATCCCTCGTTCACGGACTAGATAATACAATATACTAACTAAACTTTTTTGAATTTTGGATTTCGGATGAACCGTTTTCGAGAAATCATGTCCACCGCAAGACACCATCGAAAAAAGACGATTCGGGAATTCGGCTATAACATTTTTGTTATGTAATATCTTATTATAAAAAAATTTAATTAAGTACCCAGAAACATGTACTAAACAACGTCGGTAAAACATTTTTCATAAATATTTTCTATGGTGTCAAAAAAAAATCGATAAAAATCCATATTTTTGCGCGGTACAACTGTATATAACCCCTTAAGACGTAAAACACCCGGGTTTTTTTCGGTCGCTTGTGCAGATCAAACCTGCCACCCTTAAAAAGAGTGGAATGCGAGAATAAGTAAAAAAAAAAGATCGTTGAAAAAAAGCATGGGGGGATGGGGGAGCATGGGACATCTCCGACCCTATAAAGTATATATATTCTTGATCAGGCTCACCTCCTGAGTTGATATAAGCGTGTCCTGTCTGTCGGTTTCTACGCAAACTAGTCTCACAGTTTCAAAGCTTTCGACTTAAAACTTTGCACACACCCTTTCGTTCTTTCTTTTGCACGCATATTGTGATATTCTCATTAGAATCGTCCAACTATATCCGATTTTTGCAATATATATTCGGTTTTAACTGCAAGGGCAAATCAACTTCGGCTCTGTCCGAAGTTCACTTTGCTTTCTTGTTTATGTGTGCTTCCGATCCACATTCATGAAACTTACCGAGTAAAAAAAAGGCATGCAGGATAAATACTTGTACCCAATACTTATACTTATACGTGCATAAAAGAAACTCGGGTGCCTAAAATACTGAGTGTTTTTCGTGCATTTATATATAATTAATATTGAGGGGTTATATACAGTTGTACCGCGCAAAAAAATGGAATTTTATCGATTTTTTTTGACACCATAGAAAATGTTTCTGGGTACTTAATTAAATTTTTTCATAAAAAAATATTACATAATAAAAATGTTATAGCCGAATTCCCGGATCAACTTTTTTCGATGGTGTCTTGCGGTGGACATGATATCCCGAAAACGGTTCATGTGAAATCCAAAATTCAAAAAAATGTAGTTAGTACATTTGTATTGTCTAGTCCGTAAACGAGGGATTTTTAAAAATTTTAATTAAAAAAAAATGGCGACGGTTTTAAAAAAAATGTACTTTTTCATAGTATAAGATTTTCGAACTAGTCTCTCAGTTTTAAAGCTATCGTCTTGAAACTTTGCACACACCGTTCCTTCTTTTGCACGCAGTATATAAGTCGGAACGGCTGGGATCGGCCGTCTAAATCCTATAGCTGCCATATAACTCTTTGATCGGAAATGGTATAACTTTGGTGTTTTTAGAATTAGAGAGTTCAAATTTGATACGAGAGCTTTTTATACCCTTGCAGAGGGTATTATAATTTTGTCCAAAAGTGTGCAACGCAGTGAAGGAGACATCTCCGACCCTATAAAGTATATATATTCTTGATCAGGATCACCTCCTGAGTTGATATGAGCATGTCCGTCTGTCCGTCTGTCCGTCTGTCCGTCTGTCCGTCTGTCCGTCTGTCCGTCTGTCCGTCTGTCTGTTTCTACGCAAACTAGTCTCTCAGTTTTAAAGCTATCGTCTTGAAACTTTGCACACACCCTTCTTTTCTTTGCACGCAGTATATAAGTCGGAACGGCCGGGATCGGCCGACTATATCCTATAGCTGCCATATAACTGATTGATCGGAAATGGTATAACTTTGGTGTTTTTAGAGTTAGAGAGTTCAAATTTGACATGAGAGCTATTTTTGGCAAAATAATACGACATGCCAAATTTCATAAGGATCGGCCGACTATATCTTATAGCTGCCATATAACTGAACGATCGGAAATGACCCAACTTTCGTGTTTTTGAAGATAGAAAGCTGGAACTTGGTACAGATTATATTTTTGGCCAGTTAATCCGACCTACAAAATTTCATTAGGATCGGCCGACTATATCCTATAGCTGCCATATAACTGAACGATCGGAAATGACCCAACATTCGTGTTTTTGAAGATAGAAAGCTGGCACTTGGTACACATTCTATTTTTGGTCAGTCAATCCGATCTACCAAATTTCATAACGATCGGTTGACTATATCTTATAGCTGACATATAACTGAACGATCGGAAATGGTATTTGGTAGAAATATCAACTTTCGAATTTTTGAAGATAGAAGCTTGGGACTTTTTTTTAGATTCTTTATTGTAATTAATTGGTTTTATTATGATGTAATCATAAGGATCGGCCAACTATATCCGATGTTTGCGATATATATCCGGTTATAGCTGCAAGGGTATATAAACTTCGGCTCCGCCCGAAGTTAGCTTTGCTTTCTTGTTTTTAAAAAACATTACCACATGCAAAATTTCATAAGGATTGGCCGACTATATCTTATAGCTGCCATATAACTGCACGATCGGAAATGGTATTTGGTAGAAATATCAACTTCTGTATTTTTGAAGATAGAAGCTTGGGACTCATTTTTAGATTTTTTATTTAAATTAATTGCTTTTATTATGATAAAATCATAAGGATCGGCCAACTATATCCGATGTTTGCGACATATATCCGGTTTTAACTGCAAGGGTATATCAACTTCGGCTCCGCCCGAAGTTAACTTTGCTTTCTTGTTTTAATAATATATTAATTATATTAATTATATTATTATTATTTAATTATATTAAAAAAAAATAACAAAAATAAAATGCCATGAGTCCGGCATATATAGGCCGCCTGGCAGTCAACTCGCAGCACACGCGCCAAAGCTCCAACGGCTCCGGTCATGAAAAAAATGCATGCGCTCGCTGACCGTAATTCTAAGGTACCGGCAGCTGCGTACGTATGGGAGACTTGCTCCTGGAGATCTTACACACTGGGTGCGCGGGAGGGACCTCTTTAGCAGCACATTCCTCGTCTTGCTGGGGAAAATGGTAATACTGTTTTCTGTACCCCACGCTTCAAAGATGGATATTATTTGCGCTCTTTTTTCTTCCAGCGAGGCTTGAGACTCGCCGTCGATAAAAAGCACCAGGTCATCCACATACTGATGAATCCCTGTAGCCTCTAGTTACTCTGCCCTTCTGTCTGAGAAGAAGCTCTGCCACAAGCTCAACTTTCGGCATTTCAAGTCAGCAATTCGGCGCACTGTCGAACGCTCCTTTGAAGTCGGCGAAGATTCCGACCACGTATCTTGCCTGCATGCCGGCGACACTGCTCTTCACATGATTCCAGCCATCATCGACACATCATCCTTGGCGGAATCCAAACGGCCATCTGCTTCCTTCCGAAAAAACTTTTCTCACACGATCTCTTTGTCCCATTCTTCTTCCAAGCGAAAGGTCACGCATATCATGTACCATGCTACGCAGGGTCGAAACTAGATGGTCCAACGACGACTGTGAGACGTCTTCCGGAAAATGGGCTGCGAGCATTGGAGATGTTTCATGCGATGGTCATGCGACGGTTCTTTTGGTCAAAATCAGCAATTTCGGAACAAACTTCGACAACACACGACTCATGCCCAAAACGTTTGAAAAAATTTCATGGCATGAGCCAAGCGATATACCGGCATCTTTATCAACTCCTGATAGTGATTCGACGATGATTTTACAAAACAATTTTCTTCACTTCTTGAACGTTTTCAACAGTAGTTGACGTGCTTGGGCGTCAAGAGCGAGGCTCGTCATTGGCATCTTCCCGGCCATCTTGGAAGAGTTTTTATCACTTTTAAACATTCTTTTTTACTCAGAAAAGTTTCACCCTACGCCATTGTCAACATTTCAAGTGCTTCGGAGCACTTAATTTTATTTTTTACACAAAATTGTATGCAAATCATTTGATCCATATTCCTTGATTCCAAAAAATCGCCGAGCACGCCGAGCAAAACAACTTGTAACAACTTGCGATTCAATTGAAACTTGGTACAGATGTTAGGGAAGAGTGTACCAACTTAAAACAAAAATATCTATAATCAAAAATATTTTTCCCGCGAAATTTGAAAAGCCATCTTACGTTATGAACACACCTCGTAAATCTCAAAAATCGCAAACCAATTTATTAGAATACAAAATCTAAAAAAAAAATCACAAACTTCTATCTTGAAAAATACCAAAGTTAGTATTTTTACCAAATACCACTTCAGATCGTTCAGTTATATGGTAGCTATAAGATATAGTCGGCCGATCGTTGTGAAATTAGGAAGGATGAAATTAGGATCAACTGACCAAAAATAGAACCTTTTTTGCCCAAAAATAGCATTCGTGTAAAATTTGAACCTCTAACTCTAAAAAGACCAAAGTTATACCATTTCCGATCAAAGAGTTATATGGCAGCTATAAGATTTAGACGGCCGATCCCGGCCGTTCCGACTTATATACTGCGTGCAAAAGAAAGAAGGGTGTGTGCAAAGTTTCAAGTCCATAGCTTTGAACTGAGAAACTAGTTCGCGTAGTAACAGACGGACGGACAAACGGACATGCTCATATCAACTCTGGAGTTGATCCTGATCAACTGAAGGATCCTGAACTTTATAGGGTCGGATTTGTTTCCTTCATTGCGTTGCACACTTTTGGATAAAATTATAATACCCCCTGCAAGGGTGTGATAAAAAGGATAAAAAGTCCCAAGCTTGGGAATGTTTGTATATTTAGCAAATATTAGATACCATTTACACCGTTTAGTTTATGGAGGCAAATGAAATTTGGTGAATGGGATTATTTTCCAAACAATAAAATCTGTAAAAAAACCACAACTCTTAAAACACCAAAGTTGTGATATTTCCGATCATACAGTCATATGGCAGCTATACGCTATACGGATCGGCCGATCCCGGTCGTTCCGACTTATTTACTCCGTGCAAAGAAAAGAAGGGTGTGTGTAAAGTTTTAAGTCGATAGCCTTAAAATTAGTTTGAGTAGTGGAATTCTTTTTGGTCAGATAATCCAACCTTCCAAATTTCATAAGGATTGGCCGACTATATCGAATTGCGATATATATCCGGTTTTAACTGCAAGGGTATATCAACATCGGCTCCGCCCGTTAGCTTTCCTTTCTTGTTATATATGGCCCTGTTTAATCCGTGTCGTTCTTAAGTTCATGTCACCGCCCTTTAAAGAAAGTGAGAAAAAATGTAGTTTAAAAAGTAAACACATCTTTCTGCTGTAAAAGCTCTCAAAGTAATGCATATTCAGAATTTACACATATAGTTGAGTAAGCCCTAAAACGCTAGTCAAAATCAAAGCTGATTTCGAAAGAATCAAGGCTGGAGTTCGGATTTCGAAATTAAGAATACCTACTAAATTCTAATCATTTTATTACATAATTTATTATAAAAGAAAAGGAAAGCTAACGTCGGAACTAGCCGAAGTTGATAAATCCTTACTGTTGAGGTAGTACTAAAAACTTCGTCGTTTTCCCTCGCCTTGTTAGCTTCACCTAGCGATCGCAAAAAACTCGTTTTTCCGCCATTTTTCCGTATATCGATAAGCTTACGTCTAGCGTTTTTCAAAACTTATTCTAAACATTATTCAACACTAATTTGTAAGATTTCATTTTTTAAATATAAACTTAATTCTATGACGGCGGTAACATTCCCTCCCCCGTAATTGATCCCGATCCGTGGTCAGTTACCATCCTCTAAGCCGACGTCTAGAACTGCTACCTTTGTTGCTGGTCTTTCTATAGCACCATGCTGCGTCTTGATTGTCACCCGCCGAACTTGTCCATCGTTGGCCATCATTGCGTCAGTCACGCGTCCTTTTAGCCACAGGTTCCTGGGAAGAAGCTCATCCACGACTACGACGATGCTTCCGATGGTGATTGGAGGCACCTTCTCAAACCATTTGGTGCGCCTGGTTAGTACGGGTGCATACTCCTTAACCCATCGTTGCCAAATCGATCTCCGAAGCGCTGAGTCTCATTCCATCTACGCTTCAGATTCATTCCCTCTTTCGGCAGCGGCTTGTATCCGTTCGCTGATCCTAGCAGCAGGTGGTTTGGAGTCAGGGCAGCGTCATCCTCGGAATCCAAACTTACGAACGTGAGAGGTCGCGAGTTGATGATAAATTGCGCCTCCATCAGTGCGTTTCTCAACCCCTCGTCGTTGAAAGAGTAACTTGGGCAAATGTTCTTCAAGATTCCTTTCGTTGTCCTGACGAGTCTCTCCCATGCTCCACCCATGTGCGGTGCTCCTGGTGGGTTGAATCGCCACTTTATGCCGTCGAACTTAATAGAGATCTTATCGTGCTCGATCTTTTTCAGCTCCTCGCGCACGGCTTTTTCTGTGGCTCTGAAATTTGTACCGTTGTCTGAGAATATTTCCCTCGGTGTCCCTCGAAGGGCCATAAAATTGGCTAGGCACATGATACATGAACTTGTATCTAAACTGTGGGCGATCTCAAAATGCACCGCGCGCAACGTAAGACAGGTGAACAGAGCTACCCATCTCTTCTCTTTGCGCCGGCCGACGTTAACCAATAACGGGCCAAAATAGTCAACGCCTGTATAGGTAAACGGCCTCTCGAAGCTTCCAACTCTTGCCCTCGGGATAGGTGCCATCTGGGGTGGTCTGGGAACTGCTCTGTCGATCTTGCATCGTTGGCATATGTTTCGCACAGATTTGTGCAGTACTCGTAGCCGGCTGATATAAAACGAATTTTTTATGTCGTTTATTATAGTTTCGTGAGCGAGATGGTGATACTTTTCGTGAAAGCCCCTAACTATGAGGTTGGTTATCCGGCATCCATGAGCTAGTATAATGGCGTCCTCAGCTGTGTCAACTGCGTTCAATCTGCCTCTTGTTCGTAGTACTCCATCGTTGTCTAGGTACGCGTTCAATCCGGCTAATCTGCTTCCCTTGAGGAGCGCCGTTCCCGCGGATAACGTTTTTAGTTCTGCTGCGAAGGCGATGGATTGGGATTGCTTGTATAGCAGCATCTTTGCCTTGCTCACATGAGCCGTTGTCGTGGTTGATGGCATATCTTGTCCGGCACATTTCGCTCGCAGCCGATCAATCAACAGGAGTACTAGCGCCACTGCTCTGTATAACCGCCGCCAATTTGAGAAATCGTGCGCGTTGAACATAACCACTGATTTCGAATGCGTCGTCATCACATGCTTCCGGATCTCCGAGGTATCGATGATGCTCTCCTGCTTCTTGGATATTGGCCAGTTGCTCGCATCGGTCTTCAGGAACTCCGGGCCCGTTATCCACGTCTCTTGTTGGGTTTGCCCGGTGACCTTGGTAGCTCCATCTGCTACGTTCAGCTTTGAAGGAATCCACCGCCATTGCTCGACCAGTGTTGTTTCCAGAATTTCGGCGACTCTGTGCATCACGAACTGATGAAAGTTGCGGGGGTCCATAGTTAGCCACTGCAACACTGTCTTGGAGTCCGACCAGTATGTGGCGTTGTCAATTCGTAGGTTGCGTGTGCTCATCACCTTTTGGGCTAAGCGTGCTCCCATAACTGCTGCCTGCAGCTCCATACGCGGAATCGAAAGTGGTTTTAAAGGTGCCACCTTAGATTTCGCCATTACCAAAGATACGACGACTCTGTCATCCGTTGCCACGCGCAAGTAGCAGACTGCAGAATATGCTTGCTCGCTGGCGTCGACGAATGTATGGAGTCCAATTTGACATGGCTCCGATGTGGCTGGGGAAAAGCATCTAGGAACCTCGAAAGTCCTTATGTCTTGCAAAATGGTTTTCCATTGGCGCCATTCTTCTAGAATTCTCTCAGATAGCTCCTGATCCCATTCAATTTTTTGCCGCCATATGCCCTGGAGGAGTATTTTTAGTCCGATCGTTTGGCATGATAAAAATCCCAATGGATCGAAGATCGACATCAAAACTTGTAATACTTCTCGCTTGGTAGGGACTGCGTTTTCCGCCAGCACATCACGCTTCAGCCTTGAAAATCTGCAGAGAAATTTGAACATATCATTATGTGGGTCCCAGAACATGCCAAGTATCTTTTCTGTTGCACAAAAATCCACCGGCTTTTGGGTTCCAGCGTTGCCATTATCCTGCAAGCTTTCGAGCACTTCTTCCGAATTCGACGACCAGTTACGGATTTCGAATCCGCCTCTCCGATGTACTTCTATGACTACTCTGGTGATCTGGATGGCCTCCTGTTCGTTCCTCATGCTATCGATGAAGTCGTCGACGTAGTGCGCCCTTTGGATGGCGTTTAAGGCCAATGCGAACTCTTCTTGGTGGGTTTCCGCGTTCTTATCTCGAACGAAGTGCGCTATAAACGGCGCGCAGCTAATCCCAAAAGTCATTGCTCGCATGACATATGTGTCTACTTTGTCGCTGCCTTTGTCATACCACAAAAATCGCTGCGCCTGCATATCCTCCTCGCGAATGTTGATCCTGTGAAACATTTCCGCAATGTCACCGCAAATTGCTATTTTGTTGACCCGAAAGGCTAGCAAGACGACTATGAGTGGGTTCAGGCAATCTGGTCCTCTGAGTAGGTAGTCATTTAGCGCGTATCCGTGTGCCTTTGCGGCTGCATCCCATACGAGCCTTATCTTTTTCGGCTTGTTTGGATTCAGCGCTATGAATATTGGCAGATACCATGTACGGCTGTTCTCCCGGCTGGTTTCTTCCTCGGATAGCTTAACCGCGTATCCTTTGTCTAGAAGGTTCCTGATTTGGGCGTCAATCTTTTCATACAGATCTGGTTCTTGGGAGACCTTTTTTCTCATGCAGGTAAGCCGCTTCAGAGCGTTACTCCGGCTCTCAGGGAGTTTGTCGATACCACCGCGCCACGGAAGTCCAACTTCATATTTTCCGGACTTCTTTTGGCAGGTGCTTTCCAGTATCTTCACTGCCAGCTCATCTTCAGCTGAGTGCAGCTTTCGTGGTACGAGTGCGTCCAGGTTGAAATGTTCCTTGATGTCATCATGGAGTTCGTGCCAGTCGCAGTCGCAGTGGTGCATGAAAATGGATCGTTGTGGGTTCGCCGATTCTTGGATGCTCCATCCTAGCATGCACTTCGATGCTATCGTGTCGTTCCATTTTCCTTCGCGGATCTTGCGTGGAACTGCTAGCTTCCAGTTGTTGGTTCCGATTAGCAAAGTCGGCTGGGCAGAGTAGGACCGTAGCGGCAAGTCCTTCAAATGCTGGAATCTTTCGCATAGCTCCTTCATATTGACTGTCTGTCTCGGTAATGCTAGGTTCTGAACGGTCTGGACGTTGTTCAACCAGTAAACTA